TACCTGCATGAATCCATGAACAGTGCCTGCTCCCCCTCATCATCATGCAGTCACTAGTTAGCATGGTGCTTTGGTTTAGTTTGCTCAATAGTATTTGTGGGATAAAGGAACAATTCATGTATACATTTATGGAATTTAAATTATTTGTAAATATTTTATTATTTTTATTTTATGTGTATGAGTGTATTACTTGCATATATGTGAGTGCATCCAAGTTGTACAATGTCCATGAAGGTCAGAAGAGGGTGTCCAATTCCCCTGGAACTAGAGTTATAGATGGTTATTAGCTGCCAGGTGGCTGCTGGGAATTGAACCCAGGTCCTCTGCAAGAGCAACCAGTGTTCTTAACTGCTGAGCCATCTCTTCAGCCCCTAAATTAATTAATTTTAAGTCAAAGATGTATATCATGAAATATTTGTGTTTAAAAAGGAGTATGAATTTAGTATAACATTTAGAATGGAGACCAAGAACAGGTATTATTAGATGATGAGGAAGAACAGAACACAGGTAAAACACATAGGCATTATGAAAGAAGATGAAAAGCTATTCTCTTCTAGTTTCAACTCTGCCATAGTTTTGCTTCTTTTGTGTGGTGCATAAATGAACAAAAATTTTATTGATAGTGGAAGTGTACAACCCTAAGCAAATGTTTGGGGTATTCTGTATGAAATATACAAAAACATCAATAAAAATGAGTTTATGATCTGGACACATGTCTATAATCCCAGAATGAGGCAGAAGGACTGTTATGAATTCAAGCCCAGCCTGGCAATGTGGGCTACACGTGCGCTCCAGGCCAGTCTATGCTACTGTATGAAACCCTATATCAAAATAATTCATGGAAGAAATCCAGGGACTATGCTCCTAGAAAGTCCCAAGGAAGTAAATGTATTAAAGATGTCATATAGGTATTCATGTCAATAATATAAAGTAAAACAGTCTAAAGTCCCTGAATTTGTAAAGTAATAATACACATATTGCTTTTAAAACCTATGCCATCATTTCATGCCATTCAAATATATAGAATTTTAATTTTTGAAATTACAAGATGAATTACGAAGTCACTTCTAAGTGAATATATGTTGGTACTTTCTATATACTTAGAGAATTTCAGTTTTAAAGACATCACAATGGGAGGTAAAATCATGATGCCAGTTTTCAAATACTATATTATACTATACTATATTTATACTACATTATATTTTGTTGTAACACAGATACATAATTAAATTGCAGTCACACTTTTCAGCTGAATTATTTGGCTTTGTGCCTTTTTTTTTTTTTTGGACATACAGGTTATTCAATCTGATCTGAAATTAAGACCCTACAATAAGAAGCCTGGCTTAGCAGGGTATTATAACTCAGTCCAGTAGTTTGGCACTCTTGGGACTTATAACATACTCTTCTACAAGACTGGAATATTCATCCTTCCCCTGGCAACTCTTTGAGAAATTCAACATTCTCCCCTTCACATTCCATGCCCAATCCCTACAGCTCTCCTCACTAGGATTATGGATAACGCTACAGCTTCATTTTGATATCTCGGACTAGCTCTCTCTTATCAAATGTGAGCCTGGTTGAGATAGCAATCATGATCTGACTCTCAGTTTGACATCAGTCCACTCACAAATACCAGTGAGTAGAAATTATTTAGCAATTTTGCAGAAAACCTCAAAGATAGAAAAATTTTCATTACTGGTATCTAGCTTTGAGTTGATATCTTGATTCTGTACCTCTCCGTGTTAATTTATCTGATTATAAAGCTATTTGAAGTCATAATATTTCATAAATTAGTTCGTTCTTTGCTTTTGTCCCAATTTCAAATATAATAGACTCTGACTTTTTCTTTTTCACTTCTTTTGATCATATTACCAGAGATAAATGC